GTTGCTTGGGACAGTTGGAAGTATAGTGCTAATTTTGGAAGGACCATATTGACATATTCTGAAAGAGGCATCTCTTATTTAGAAGTGATAGTCAAAATGAGAATATGGAGTTGTCTCCATAGTGGAGTTATCTGTGGAAGATTAAAAACTTAATGCAAGAAGCATGTCCAAAGCAATGTACTTTGAATATGAACTTGTTTCCATGGAGTTGATCTCCATTGGAATACCTTATAATGACTGTTGACAAGTCTTGTGACTTTGTACATATTCATTACAGGAGGGTCAGTGCATATAAGTTTAAAATCTAAACAGATTTCGTAAATGATAGGAATTTGAAATTCTTCACGTTTTTCGAAAGGATTTGGGAGTGTGAAATTAGAATCATTGAATTTATGTTCAATTGGTTTATTCACAAAGTAAGGATCATAGACAAACATAGAGTGCATACTTGGTGTATGGCAAGCTAGTGTTTAAGAAAAACTAGTGTACATGCTTGGAGCATGGGACAACTATGTTTTTTAATTCAAGTATAAAGTTGATAAAACCGAAACAATGAATGAGTAATCAGTATGTGGATATAAAAGTGTTTATTTATATTCATAGGTTTGATACCATATTTGATTCATTTATTCTTGTGTTTCACTTTGCATGTTTTGACTTCCAGAATAACTAAGTTGCTCTTCCCTGAATGATTAAGTTATTCAAACCATCCATAGTCGGTCATATGTTGGAAGTAGATATGAATCAAGTTGGTGGACAAAGTGGTGCTACAACACTCATGAGTGCTCATAAGTTCTGAGTATTGGATTCAACCCGCGCTCATTTGAATCACTTCATGGATTTTATCACGAGTGATCATGAGACAATAATATCTTATATTCTTCAAACCTAGAGATATGAGTTGTTACTATGAGTTGGTTGTACATTGATTGCACGAAAACGCATTCGGTAACTCGATGTTATAAAACGTGCCTTTGTGTATGATTCAACAAGTAGTAGAACACCATATGAGTCGAAGTTTATCCATTCCTTTTACCTTCGGGATAAAAACGATATCTGTGGGCCCCTCGATGATTTTAAGATGATACATGTGAGTGCTTGGTCAAGCCAGGATTGATTTGATTTGTTCAATCAGTCAGTCATCATGAATCGGAAATCGGGAAACAACAAATGGACAGAGGAATGATTGATATCCATGTCTCAGTCCATATGATATCTAGAATGGAGGAATATATGATCCCTTATCTAATGGACAAGTCATTGACAAAGGTCAGAGTTCATCGACAAGGTCAGAGTTCGACAGAAGCTTTTGAGAGCTACGATTGCTGATCGGTTCCTGAAGTCATACGCAATAATAGTTTTAGACTTATCCAAGTGGGAGACTGTTGGATTAATGTCTAAGTCCATAACTATAATGGTAAGACTTGACCCGACCCGGCATGGTCCATTTGGGTTGCATGGCATCATGCATTTGGATAGACTATAATAGAGAAATAACACTTAAGGTTGGTTATATATTATAAGTTCTAATTATTAATAAGGTTATTTAATTAGTATTGATCAAAATTAATTTGGAATTAATTAAGTGATCAAAAGGAGACTAATTAATATATAGGGTTGATTGTGTAAATCATTCATTCTTATATATGTGGGCTTGTGATCCAAGATTCCTTATTGGGACTAAGTCCATGGGGTGACCCATGATACTCCATGGAGGTTAAAATCCATGGAGCATAAGGAATGGGTAAAGTTATGAGTTGCATGGTGTAACCCTAATAGCCACCATATAAAAGAATCCCATGGCTCAAGAAATCGTACACTAATGTGTGAGTGTGAGGGCTAGACGATTTCAAGGAGTGTTCAAGTTTCTCTCAAGTTATTCCAAGTGTATTTGGTGTTGTGTGAACCATTTGAGGTGTCACACTTGGGGCACTAGGCACTCAAGCTTCATGAAGACATCTACATCAAAGAGGTATGTATTCTATCTTGTTATATTTATTATTTTGTATGCTAGATTAGGATAATACCTTGGATGTTCATAATTGTATGTATAATAGAGAAAACATAGATCAAAGGTATTTAGGGTTGCATGTACACTTAGGAGTGTTAGAATGCTCATAACCCAACAACATGGTCCGTGTGGGCTGTTGAACAAAAAAGCTCCATGTATGAAGGATGGAAAATGCACAAAAGGTTTCCCAAAACCATTCTTGGATTCTACTCTTTTTGATACATAGGGCTATGCACGCTACAAACGCATATCAGATGTGTACCACACAACTTCACGTGGAATTGTTATTCACAATGGATATGTAGTGCCTTGTAACAAAAGACTTTGTTCCCGATTTCAGGCGCATATAATGTTGAAGGTATGGATGGAACATTATGATAAAATACATGTTTAAGTACATCTCAAAAGGAACTGATCGCGTGAGATATGTCATTCAAAAAGATGTGCCTGACAGTGATGTTGGATCAAGTAACAGTTCGAGTGGACAAACGGATATCATATCTGAAGAAAATGAATGCATCAAAGAGATAAAAAACTATTTAGAAGGTAGGTATATTTGTCCGCATGAAGCAGCGTGGCGAATATTTGATTTTCCTATACATCACCGGCATCCAGCCGTTCAGTCACTTGCAGTCCATGAAGAGAATAGGCAACCAATTGTCTTCAAAGAAAACACAAGAATAATAGATGTTTTGCGTAATCCATCTGCTACTAAGACAACACTTTCTGCATGGTTTGAAAGCAATGCAAGGGATCCAACAGGTCGCAAATACACATATATGGAGTACCCAAAGTATTACAAATGGGATTCACCCTCCAAATCTTGGATTAGGAGAGCTGATGATTCATCTGACATGGTCGGTAGGCTTGTCTTTGTCCATCCATCTTCTGGCGAGTTGTTTTATCTCCGTTTGTTGTTGTGTCATCGAAAAGGATGCACTTCTTTTGAAGATGTGCGTACCGTCTCAGGCCAGGTTCACCCAACATATAGATCTGCATGTAATGCATTGAAAATTATAGGTGATGACACTGAGTGGCTTATTGCGTTCAGTGAGGCTTGCATATGGGCAACACCATTACAACTCCGTAACCTTTTCTGTAGTTTGTTATTATTTTGTGAAGTTACTGATCCAAAACTTTTGTGGGAAGAAGCTTATGAAAAAATGTCGGACGACTACATTTATAGATTGAAAGTGACATTGCCCGATAGGACTTTTTACGCCGTCGATGATGCAGTTCAACAGCAGTTACTTTCTGATTTACAAGACACCCTTTCCTCTTCTATTCCGTCAAGGTCGCTTGCTGATTTCGGTTTGCCAATGCCGTCAGCTGCTATGCTTTCTGTATTACAAAATCGGCTCCTACTCGAAGAGACGAGCTATGACAAAAAGTTGTTAGCCGATCATCATGCCCAGTTGCTTCCACAACTAAATAGTGATCAAATGGCAATCTATGAAAACTCTGTCTCTTCCATTCAAGCTAACAAACAGATTCTTATGTTTGTTTATGGTCATGGCGGTACAGGAAAGACATTCCTTTGGATAACTATTCTCTCATATTTTCGATCAATTGGAAAAGTTGTCCTTGCGGTTGCTTCATCTGGGATAACATCGTTACTTTTGCCTTCCGGAACTACAGCACATTCAAGATTTAAAATACCAATTGATCTAACAAGCAAGAGGTCATGTGACATAAAAAAGAGAACATCACTAGGGGAGCTTATGCGCCATACATCACTTATCATATGGGATGAAGCACCAATGAGTGATACATGATGTTTCGAATATCTTGACAGATCTTTACGATACTTCTTGGTGGTGACTTTCGACAAACACTACCTGTTTCGCCAAAGGCTAAATGAGTGGAGATTGTGGATCTTACATTACCACATTCATACCTATGGACTCTTTTCCAGATTCAGATGCTGACACAGAACATGAGAGTGCTTTCTACCAATGATAGCAATGTGTGTGGATTGTCGACGGCCGCCTTTACCGAGTGGTTGCTTCATGTTGGCAATGACACAACTGGTCGTCCTGATCCGGATGATCCATGAGACAGCTCTTGGATACAAATCCCTTATTCACTGTTGATAACTCCAATGCACGACTCGCTACAATGTCTCATTGATTTCGTATACGGATCAGAATTACTTAATGCACCGACTGAAAATGATCTGTCAGTGCGAGCAATTGTTTGTCCAACCAACGAAGCTGCCGATCTATCAATACTATCATCCTCAAATTGGTCAACACGTACAGCAGGATATATAGCAGCACAGATGCAATGGAACCGAATGGAAAGCACACATCAGATTTAGAGGTTTTGTACCCTATAGAGTACCTAAATCAGTTGAACTTCCCAGGAATACCACCGCACACATTGGAACTAAAACTAAACCCCCCTATAATGCTGTTGCGAAATATCAGGCAACGAGATGGCTTATGTAATGGAACAAGACTTATCGTGTCACAACTGCTACCAACAGTTATTGAGGCCACTATAATTACAGGGGCCTGTATCGGACAACACGTCTATATCCGTCGCATAAAGTTCATCCATAGGCCATTGGATTTACCAATATCTTTTTCACGAAAACAATTCCCCGTTAAACTATGGTATGCGATGACGATCAACAAAAGTCAAGGGCAATCACTCAAAAGAGTTGGTGTTTATCTATCTCAACCAGTGTTTTCACATGGGCAGTTGTATGTAGCACTCTCAAGGGCAACTTCTCCAGCTTCGTTGAAAATACTTATAGAAACAAATGATGTTATCCCATACAACGAAACAAAAAATGTTGTGTATAGAGATTTACTACAGAAAGTCTGACAAAATGAGATGTATCATATCATCACCGCATACCGTTATTCCATCCATAACCAAACCACACTACATCTTATTAATAGTTTACATAATTTTATTATATCCATTCAAAATAGAAACTTACTAACACATTTGATCTTCAATCAGAAATCAACAGTGACCAATGGCCAGCATATCCGAGTTGAAGCATGATGGGATTGGGAGTCCAATAGACCTGAGAATCATTCGGAAATGGAGGCATGATGTGCGTCTGCATGAGACCTGGTTTGTTGGCGTTGATAGATTCGTAAGTTAACAAAAAACAATAACTAGCATCAAATAAGTATATACAAGTCCCATATATAAATCCATCACATTTTCCAACCATATTATTGTTTTTTCCACAGGGAGATGCGATACAGATCCTAAGACAACGGACAAGTCAAGATTACATAGAATCGGTGTTGAATGTGTCAAATTGTTATACCATCTCAGATTACAGCTGTCCCGAATTAGACAAATATCAAAAGGTGTTGGAAAATGATTTCTATATTGATGTTGGTCTCAGTTCCGTCATAAAACCAATTCCAAATACAATAACCATCCCAACGACTTCGTTTCGTTTTGTCTCTAAACCACAACTACTAGAACTTGGAGAACACCCACCATACTATCCAGGTACCAACATAATGTGTTCAATACCTTTCACTCATATCCGTTGACCACCTATGCATATCTGTGATAAGATTTTATTGGGATGCTATCGAAGATAAGAGACTGCACAAAACATGATGGACAACCCTACGTTCTTATCATTCTCACTGATAGCAGGTATATCGTATAACACCTAACAATCATTGCCAATAAATTCATATCATGTATCCTAACAGTTTAATGTCCCATACTTATAGTGGTGATGAAATCCCAATTAATCTGTGGAAGGAATGCATTACGAACCCGACAAAATTCAATCGCAGCCTACTTGCCCCACCACCTGCAATGACAGTAGTAGCAGTCACGAATTTAAAACCGTCTGTTTCTGCAGCTCAGGCACAATTCACTATATATAAGATAGACACACTATCATACATGGTAATCTTTGCAATTCAATTCCTTATTGCAGGATCGTTACGCCACGGTTCATCACATGCTACCCATGTATATGTAAATCCACAGATCCCAGAAACGAGATCGTTGATGAACCTGTAAACCTTCCAAATCAAATAAAATATACGAAATCCTATTATAAAAAAAGAACCATAACATTAGATTGAACAATACTGCAGGTACAGTGGTCCAAATTGTCCATCATCAAAACCTTCAGGGATACCAGCAACCTTGAAAGATATCAGACAAAAAAAAAATTGGACATGCTGGTAAAGATCTACAGTTGTTACCTCAAATCTGACCCCATATCTCTTATAAACACCCTATATTAAAAGACTTTACCATTGCATACACACAGGACAAAACCTTTTTAGTAAGAGCATCTATTGCAGAGTTTGTGTTCCAGGACAACTGGTACCAAATGACATGCCCAACCTGCAGAGATCCAATATTCAAAAGAGGTCCAGAATGGTACTGCAGCGCACATTCCAAGATAGAAAAACCCTTACTAACGTATGTACCATCCCCAAATCATACAACATATCAATATCTTACGAAAGATAATAACAAGCAAATGTTTCTGCAGGCACAAGTTCAGTGTTACAATAACCGATTCCACAGGCACAATTCCAGCAATCATATCCGACACGTCATTTCGGAAACTGCTAAAGACGGCTTTCGAAGATATACTATCTGATAATACATCTATCAGCAAGAAGAGCCTGCCACAGGTAATTACTCAGCACAAAGGAGAAATAAAAACAATGTCCATCCAAATGCTAAGAACATCCAGTGAGGAAAATCTGCGATTCATCATAATCGACATAGAGATGCCAACGACACTTGCACATCCATCGGTACCTGTGACTCCATCACAGCCACCGGTGACAAGGTCCAAAATCCAACACAACCCATCCATATCGAAGATAACCACAGGACAAGCCGCAAGGACCCTAACATTCAACACGGATGGTATGTACACACACACAAATACAAATATGAGCTAGACTAAATTACAATTTATGATATCTTCATTTGACACATTACAGATGAACCGGCACCTTCATGGGATATGAAACGAACCCGAAAGAAATAAACAAGTTGACACAAAATCATACGTTGTTCCTTGCTAACATGTTCCCCTTTTTGTAAGATGTTTCCCTTTTGGTAGCTGTAAAAATCCCTGGAAACAATAGTCTTCTAATGTGTTAGCGATATTTCAATGTCTGGTAATGGAACAACGTTTGACTTCGTATGGTTTTGTGTTAAATTTTAACACGTTACTATGTATGTCCTTCAACAGTAGACAAGTTTACCACTCTTCTACATGCCTTACAAAAATGAAACACACAGAAAACCAATTACACATCGAAACCAAATGGTACAAATATATTCATCCATATATAGTTTAATCCATTACGCACTATAATTTACAAAAATGTTGAAAATCCCGTTCATTACACTTCTTACACACATGAACATAGAAACCAAAAAATTTAAAACAAACTAAAACTTATACGTTCTATGTACCAATTTGCCACTTTAATATAACCATGACCCATTATGACACTTAATATAACCATGGTCCAACATCCCCATATAAAACAAAAATCCAAATACTACCCAATAGGCCCAATCTCCAAAACAATAGCTTAGGCCTATCAAATTTCTATGAGTTTATGAAAAAAAACACATGCATTACCCAATCAGTTGACCAAAAAACAGGAAAGTTACACATAGGATACATTTTCCCCACTCACTGAAAAAATATTTCGTCAATATTATATACAGTTCAACATTATGACAATACCAAAAAAGGGCACACCCATAATCTTAACAAAACAAACACATAAAGGACCATTCTTCAAATTGGTGCTCCTCCTTAATATATATGAATATATGAATAGGTAACAATTATCTTAAAAACAAATAGTTCATAGAAATAAATAATTTGGAACCGTTATGACTATCCGTTTTCTTACTGCCATAAAATAGTAGCAAAGGAAAAAAAATCATGTAATATAAAAAGATCAGCACGTAATGTGGATAACTATGAACATTTGTCACCAGATTACGTCTATGTATACCAACTGGCTGCTTACCACCATCACATCCATTAATTAAACTACTGTCACTCTTCTATCTTTCTAGAAAAATGTAACGTACACAAAAGGATTACACCACCCCAACCTTTCACTTCCGCCATCATTACTAAATTAAATATGGCAATATCAACCCCAATTAAGAACATTAAACAGTTCCCTATAAATCCATACACCGTCGTACCGTCCTACACCACACCCATTCACAACATCAGTCGAAAAGAAACCCACAGAAACAAAACATCGCAAAATGAAACCAACAGAGATTGAAAGGATAATTTACATGCTCATCGGTCAAGCGGAGGAGGAGATAACTGTTGGGTTTTGAGCATTCTAACACTCCTAAGTGTACATGCAACCCTAAATACCTTGGATCTATGTTTTCTCTATTATACATATAAATATGAATATCCAAGGTATTATACTAACTAGCATACAAAACTTTGATTCATATGAAATATAACAAGTTAGAATACATACCTCTTTGATGTAGAATGACTTCATGAAGCTTGAGTGCTAGTGCCCCCCAAGTGTGACACCTCAAATGGTTTCACACAACACCAATACACTTGGAATAACTTGAGAGAACACACACTTCATGAAAATCGGCTAGCCCTCATTTTCATACTCTAGTGCCGATTTTGTCAACAATAAGATGCTTATATAGTTAGTGACAATTAGGGTAAACCCTAATTGTCATGGCTTTCCATTTCCTTGGATCCATGGGTTCAAACATGCCATGGAGCATCTTATGGGTTTTAGCCCAACTTGACAATCCATGGAGCATTAGCCCACTATACAAGTATGGGTGATTTACACAATCAACCCATATATTTAATTAGTCTTCTTTTGATCACTTAATTAATTCTAGATAAATTCTTGATCAATACTAATTAAATAATCTTATTAATATATTATAACTTATAATATATTAACAAACCTTAAGTGTTATTTCTCTCATTATAGTCTATCCAAATGCATGATGACATGCAACCTAAATGGACCATGCCGGGTCGGGTCAAGTCTTACCAATTATAGGTTATGGACTTAGACATTAATCCAACAGTCTCCCACTTGGATAAGTCTAAAACTATTATTGCGTATGACTTCAAGAACCGACTGGCAATCGTAGCTCTCAAAAGCTTCCGTTGAACTCTGACCTTGCCGATGATCTCTGACCTTTGTCAATGACTTGTCCATTAGATAAGTGATCATATATTCCTCCATTCCAGATATCATATGGACTGAGATATGGATTATCAATCATTCTCTCAGTCCATTTGTTGTTTCCCGATTTCCGATTTATGATGACTGACTGATTGAACAGATCAAATCAGTCCTGGCTTGGCCAAGCACTCACATGTGTCATCGCTAAATCATCGAGGGGCCCACAGATATCGCTTTTATCCGAAAGGTAAAAGGAATGGATAAACTTCGACTCATATGGCTTGTTCTACTACTTGTTGAATCATACACAAAGACACGCTTTATAACATCTAGTTACCAATGCGTTTTCGTTCAATCAATCAATGTATACCAACTCATAGTAACAACTCATATCTCTAGGTTTGAAGAATATAAGATATTATCGTCTCATGATCACTCGTGATAAAATCCATGAAGTGATTCAAATGAGCGTGCGTTGAATCCAATACTCAGAACTTATGAGCACTCATGAGTGTTGTAGCACCGCTTTGTCTAACATCTTAGATCTCTACAAGCCAACCTATGACAGTCTTGATTCATATCTACTTCCAACATATGATTGACTATGGATAGTTTGAATAACTTAGTCATTCAGGAAGAATGACCTAGTTTATTCTGGAAGTCAAAACATGCAAAATGAAACAAAGAATAATGAATCTAATATGTATCAAACCTATGAATATAAATAAGACACTTTTATTTATCACCATACTGATTACTCATTATTCATTGTTTCGGTTTTTATCAAGTTTATACTTGAATTAAAAACACTAGTTGTCCCATGCTCCAAGCAAGTACACTATGTTTTTCAAAACAATAGCTTTGCCATACACCAAGTATGCATTCTATGTTTTTCTATGATCCTTACTTTGTGAAATAAACCAATTGAACATAATTTCAATGATTCTAATTTCACACTTCCAAATCCTTATCGAAAAATGTGAGATTTTAAATTCCTATCATTTATCGAAATTGTTTAGATTTTAAACTTATATGCACTGACCCTCCGTAATGAATATGTACAAAAGTCACAAAGACTTAACAGTCATTATAAGGTATTCCAATGGAGTTCAACTCCATGAAACTAATCTCATATTCAAAGTACATTGCTTTGAACATGCTTCTTGCATTAAGTTTTCTAATCTTACACAGATAACTTCCACCTATGGAGACAACTCCATATTCTCATTTTGACTATCACTTCTGAACAAGAGATGCCTCTTTTCAGAATATGTCAATATGGTCCTTCCAAAATTAAACACTATACTTCCAACTGTCCCTGAGCAACCAATCTTTGGTAAACCGTAGATTGTCCTCGACAATTGCTTAATCATTTTAGTCATATCCAATTCTAGACCTTTTCCCTTCTTAATGCCTCTTGGCATTTGGAAAATTTAGAAAGGAAAAATATTATAGCACATGCAATCGATCCTGTACCCAAAGCAAATGGGACACGATTCATGATGTCTCACATAAAGACATGATTCTAGACCAGTCTTTTGCTACAATATTTTTATTTGCCATGTTTTCAAAATTTGACTATGAAGAGGGATGCCGTAATCATAATCGAATTTTGAGAACGCAATATATAGAATTTCCTTATTGAACCAATCCAACATGAAATTCATATATATATTCTTGACTAAAGATGATTAAGGTCTCAATCTAAGCCTTTAGAACTGAAATGAAGTATATCCTCTCCCTTAATTATAGCAAACCAACTTTTTCAACCCCTGCAACCTCACGAATTGAAACTTTTGTTTTCTATAATTAACATTGCTAATATGCAATACTTATCATAATTATCATGCTCCCACTAACATGATGATTATTAGCATAACACTTATGCTCCCACTAGCTTTAACATGTATCCAGAAATTACTGGACTTCTAGAAATCAATACTTTATTGACTTTCTTACCAAAGTTCAGATTTCTGATACTAGATTGCTTTGATAAGGCTTTATCAAAATTATACACCTTCTCTTAGATAGCTCACAGGTGTGTCTAAACAATTTCAGAACTATGAAAAGGGATGCCATAATCATAGTCTCAATTGTTTAAATCTTTACTATCTGCTTCAAATCTACTTGGTGGAAGTGTTTTCTCACCATCATTTTCATGAATCGGAGAGAAACCTTATGACCCTTAGATTTTATGGTATATGTGTTCCTTTCCATGTGAATTTTTGTCAAAACCATAATCACAAGACAAGATTAGTGACAATTCCAAATTCATATGGACTAAACTTGTGCAATCTTACATTCTTGCCACCTGGCAGCTCAAGGGCCTGCCATTGCTTCCAAGTTGATATGCAACCAATTGAGAACTCTAAGAACTCATATGCAAAGCCAACTTTAACTGGAATGGGCACAGAAATCGAAATATGTCAACACGATAGGTTATAAACCTCACGTCGTGTGCTAGTGTTAAACTACAGGTTTTTTATTCTTGATTAGATCTTGAAATTCTTTTTAGGATCTTTAAGACTCCCACTGTCCTCTTGACATATAAGACTATCTTGCCAAATATTCAAGAGATAGTGTGGATTCTTTATCAAGACAAACACTTCACACAATTGGCCTAAGTTGGTCTTTGTTTTATCCAAAACATCACAACTTACCAATTTCAAATGTACAAGAGTAGGACACTTTTACTCTTACATTTGACAAGTGTTTTAAACCTTTCTTTAAGATATGTCACTCAAGTTACAATCTTGGAGTACACTCTAATTGTTTTGGAACGAAGTATGACTCATCTTCTTGATTTAACAATTTCAACAATTCATGACTCCTTTTCTTAGTCATAAGAATGCACTTAGAGGATGAATTGTGATAAGGTCTCTTAATCATTAAGATGATCATAAAACATGATACTAAGGTACTCTCCCATCTTTTCAGATTCGAGAAACTTTTATCTGTCTGCCTAATTTGATTCTTCCCATTCGTTCTGCCATACATCGAGACTTTTCCAATGCTTCAAAATTATACTTAAACTTATAAGTATAACCATATTTACTAAACTTTAGTAAATCATGATGAATAGTCTTAACGAGCTTTGTGGTGGACATGACCAGTGCACAAGAATGTGTACTCGATCCCTTTAGTCCTTCACTTGATTCACACATCTATGTGAACAAGTCTTAATTTTCCAATGCTTGAAAGTTCTCATTCATCATACTATTTAACTTGCATGATTCCAAGTTTCTATCCAACTGAAGCCTTGGGAATGAGAATCTTTCCTTATTTGGTAAATTATGACACTACCACAAACGAAAGAATCAATTTCATATTCCTATGTTGCTATCAATGGAATCATATAAACAACAATTTTCCACAAATGCCACTGTAAGGATATATATAAAATAAATAAAACAAAATTTTCTTTTATTTAAAACTTGCGAAAAAACTTATCCTTACAATGCAAGTGCATATGAAAACTATGTTGTTATCTATTCTTAAGCAATCTATGACAACTCTTAGGCAGTAGCTCAAAAAATTCTGATCACCAAACCATGCGATTGAAATCTATCTTTGCGATCAGAATCAGCATATACTTCCTTTAAGTTTCTTCACTTTTCTTTGATTCTTAAAACATCAACATGTGACCCAGTCACATCATGTAATAAGAATCTCAGAATAGAAACTTAATAGAGTTAGATAGTGGACTTTACCTGAAGTAGAGTCAATCTTCTTGACTTGATCAACCTTATGATCTTTCAGGTAAATAGGCAGCTTTGCAATCAATGCCCTTTCCTTTTGGCAATAGAACCATATGGACCCCAAGGGACAATCTCAGACTTAGCATTTCTCTTTACCATTTGGTCAACCGAGTTGACTATGGCCAATCCCTTTCCATTGGGAAGCGAAAGCTTTTCTGGATATCCAATGTTACCATTTTCAAAGTCCATGGAAGTTTGGGAAGTTAATCTTCTAATAAAATTTGCTTTACTAGTCCTCCAAATCATTATTGATTCAGTAGTACCAAGCAAATAGATATGATCATTAAGGTTCATGTCATAGTCTGTTTCATAGTAGTCCCAAAGGAACTCACTATATGACTTAGAAAGTGATTGAACATCCAACTTTCTCAAGACTTTGACACCCCACTCTCCCGGCTTGTCAATATGTGACTTCATCTCTAAGATGTGACCACACATAGATCTTGCTTGCCATTAGGGGTTAAGTGACCTTGAACTTGTGGGTTAGGGAGAATAATTGGAGGAGTTGGAGGAAGTAAAGTTCCAAGAGATTTGGGAAGATCATAGATATCTGAGCTAGACATCTTTTGGAAGATATTCAAGATAGTTGATTTAAAGTCCTTAATATAACACCCAATATGAAATATTAAAGCTAGGATCCAACAAACTATTTATAACTGGAAGAGGGATGTCGTAATCCGAGTTATAAAATAGTTGAAGGTAGGTAAATGACGATTTACCAATTTCCACCATGAAAAACGAAATATAATTAAGTTTTAATTGGATTTGAAACTCCTAGATCTTTTGAGATTCATTGAACTTTTCAATGGCATGTTTGAATCTCGAGTGTGCCCTTCAGGTTTTGTGACTGGGATGCCGAGGATCACAAAACAAGGTGTGAAGTAACCATGCAAATTACTTGGTACCCTTAATATTTACCCCTCAATCGATGTGTCGGTTAACCACACGAGCTCCACCGATACTATGATAAATATTAAGTTACCCTTTGCCTACCTTGTTAAATCCAATGTTAGTGTGCCGGTTAACCACACACGGTCCACTAACGGTTTAAACAAAGTGCAAAGTGTAATTTCATGGGTTAGCACCATATTCACATTTTCCTAAGTAACTAAGATTGGGAATTAATAAAATGTTTAGTTACTTAGTATTTATCATTAATTTTAATGAAGGGAGAATTATAGTCCTTGTCCTACCTGTTCGGCTAACGACCCTCCACCAGTCAAGGAAGCGGTGGGTGAGAGTGGACACCCATTAAGCTGTCATTTTATAGGCAACAACCTTATACCCCCCTTATAGATCGGCTTCATGAATGAGGCCTACTAATGGTAAGACTGACTTGCTCTTATATATATATATATATATATATATATATATATATATATATATATATATATATATATATATATATAATATATATATTAACTTATAATATTATAAAGTATAAGGGTTGAATTTTACTTTTAAAATTCTAAGGGCTTAACTTGGAATTAAAGTATTCATGAGAGAAACTTTACAAATTCCAAAACTTGAGGGCAAGTTTTGAAACTATTCAAAACTAATTAATTCCATAACTTATGAGCTTAAAGTAGTTTTAAATAAGAAAACTCTTCAAGTTCCATAACTTGAGGACAAGTTATGGAAGACTTTAAACTATTAAAGAATGTACTCTCTTCTTTTGTAACTTATGGAACTAATTAAGGTTACACATTTTTATTATTTAATGAAGTGACTCTTGAACCTCCATAACTTGAGGACACGTTATGGAGTCATAAAACCATTTAATGAGGACAAGACTCTTCATTTTGTAACCTTTGCCAACTTTTATGAGTTTTAAGAAACTTAAATGTGACCTTTCATGTAACTTGAGGACAAGTTACACAAACACATTTTAGAATCAACTCTTAGATTAAAATGGATTAAAGACACATAATCAATTAACTTTTTCTATTAATCTAAGCAACTCATATGAACAAAGATAATTTACATCAATCTTTTTCATCTAATTAGCATAACTTTTAAACTAACACAAAACATGAATCTATTGACAATTATCTTTGAATTTGGATTAGCATGAACATTACCACATCAAAACAAGTTTATAAGGTCAAAAACAGCTTAGGGTAATGTTCCTAGTCCAATTCCAGCAAAAACAGTCAAATATATGCTGTCTGGGGGTCCAACTCGTCGAGTGCATGAACAAACTCGACGAGTTGGATGCTTTTTGCCTTGGACTCGTCGAGTCCCTTTATGGACTCGGCGAGTCTGTTGTTCAGACTACAACAAAATTCGATTTTTCAGCCATTTTTGCAAGTATAACAAGAAAACAAGCCTAGACTCTGATACCACTGTTGGGTTTTGAGCATTCTAACACTCCTAAGTGTACATCAACCCTAAATACCTTGGATCTATCTATGTTTTCTCTATTATACATACAAATATGAATATCCAAGGTATTATACTAACTATACTAAGCAAGAATCACAAAACAATTGATTCATGTGAAATATAACAAGTTAGAATACATACCCTTTGATGTAGAATGACTTCATGAAGCTTGAGTGCGTAGTGCCCCAAGTGTGACACCTCAAATGGTTCACACAACACCAAATACACTTGGAATAACTTGAAAGAACATACACACTTCATGAAAATCGGCTAGCCCTCATGTTCATACTCTAGTGGCCGATTTTGTCAACAATAAGATGCTTATATAGTTAGTGACAATTAGGGTAAACCCTAATTGTCATGGCTTTCCATTTCCTTGGATCCATGGGTTCAAACATGCCATGGAGCATCTTATGGGTTTTAGCCCAACTTGACAATCCATGGAGCATTAGCCCACTATACAAGTATGGGTGATTTACACAATCAACCCATATATTTAATTAGTCTTCTTTTGATCACTTAATTAATTCTAGATAAATTCTTGATCAATACTAATTAAATAATCTTATTAATATATTATAACTTATAATATATTAACAAACCTTAAGTGTTATTTCTCTCATTATAGTCTATCCAAATGCATGATGACATGCAACCTAAATGGACCATGCCGGGTCGGGTCAAGTCTTACCAATTATAGGTTATGGACTTAGACATTAATCCAACAATAACAACCCTGAGAGACGTTGAGGAGGAGTTCTTCTTCCACCAACAGATGAAGCAGGAAGTTCTAGACAACATGAGCCGCCGCCCCAAGTTTACGAACTACCTCCAGATGAAGGACGTCCTCAACAGTAGCAGTTATGAGCTGTCAGAAAGAATCCGGACCATATACCGCCTGAAGAAAAAAACAGAGGGGACCATTGAGAAGGTGAAAAGCCTACTCAAAAAGATTCCAGAAAATGATCAGCCATATATGGACTGATCAGCAGTAACGAAACCATCCTCTCTTTTGTTCTTTTGTACTGTCTCATATGGCCAATGATTTCGTCTTTTGATGTTATGTTTATAATGTACCAGCTGGTTTCGAAGTTGTAAGCATCACTAAGAAATATAATCCATGGGTTTATGTTTATTCTGATTCTGATGTGATACAATACAAACTATGACCACTATAATCCCCTGACATTCTATTTTTAAACGATGCATCCAAAAGAAACGAAACTGGTTATACACAGTAACATTTACGCTTAAGGAAGGCTAACATTTATACATTTCAAATCTTTCATATGCATTCCGATGACATGTCCAAAGTTGTAAACCACAAGATAACAATGTTAAATGGATGTATTTTGCACAAAGAGTTTATAACAAATATTTATGTTATTGCATTACGACAAAAAAAACATCACTTCCGACCCTGCAACGCGGGGTTCCCCCTCTAGTTAAGATAAAATAGGAAATCCATCATCATCCACTAAAGGTAGGGGATTGAGATAGCACAAGCCCATTTACGAAGCCCATTTACCAGCTTTAGATGATCCTTGCATTTAACCAAATAAACGAAACTAAGCTGTATATCTTGCATTTAACCCTATTAAAAAAACATACTGTAAAGCTTAAAAAATTGAATAGTTTCTTGTTTTGTTATACTTATGATCATCAACAATTTTGTAAAAAACGGCTTACATCCATATGAACAAAATATTCACAAACGAAGCCAGAAGCCAATTATCAGAAGCCAACCAATTCTCAGAAGCCATCTATCCGTTCGATGAAATTTAGCATAAAATTTTTTACAACCAACATATACGGTATATAATAACAATCAAGGATGCCCAAAAACATTGAAAAATACAATAATCTTTGAGAAAAAAATTGATCATGGGTATTTTCGTCTAAAATTTTGGTGATATTTGACCCAATATTTTGTTCACCACAAAACAAAAAAATCACATTATTTATCATTTTTATTATAAGAAACTTAAATCAAGAGATCAAAACAACTGATCAAAACAACAAACAGATATGAAATTAGGTCAAAATTAAACCTTTTTTTTTGGCTTACTAAGAATCAAGAATTCCACACGACATCTTAATTAGAAATCATATAAATGTTTTGCAGCACAAACTTCTAATGAACTGCAATATATACACAAGACTCATCCTCACTCCTAGAGAAACTAAACTATTTGACTTTCTCGTCGAAGCAAAGATTCCATCTGAGAGAAGCTTGCTTCAATCCATATATGGATTTATCAAGCTTGCACACTCTATTGGGGTAGTTAGCATTCACAAAACCCTCTAGTTGACACATGTAAACATCTTCAGCCAGCTTCCTATTAAGGAAAGCAGTTTTGACATCCATCTGCCAGATTTCATAATCATCAAACGCAACTATGGCTAACATAACCCTAATAGACTTGATCTTGGCCACTGGTGAGAAGGTCTCATCATAGTCAACCCTCGGGGTTTGAGTAAAGCCCTTCGCAACCAGTAGTGCCTTGAACGTGTATATCTTTCCATCCATGTTGGTCTTCTTCTTGAAGATCCATTTGCACCCAATTGACTTACGACCTGGTACATTGTCAACCAAGTTTCAACTTGATTGTCATACATGGACTGGATGTGACATCCCCAATTTCACGGCCAGAAAAGACCGGTTTAATTTATGCTTTTAAAATAATTTCAGAGTAATCATTTGATTAAAAGTGTTGCGGAATTTGTTCCTAGAAAAACATGATAAATATGTTATCAAATCATTTCTGAAGAAATGTATTTTATTTACTTAAACCATTGGGATGTCATTGTCAATACAAAAACATAAGCATAAACAAAACTTACATTCATTTTACACTAGTGATCTACTTCTCTTTAAATCTCTCAGTGTAAAGCAACTTCGTATCGATACCTGTGATACAATTAAACTGAGTGGGTCAGGCTTGGGAGCCTGGTGAGCATATAGGGTTTTCAACCCACAATAAATAATAAACTTATTAAGTTCTCAATCAACAATAACTTTATTAATTTCATCAACCAAAAAAACCCTAATTACCCATTCCCATTATCCTCACTTTACGTCCCTAAAACAACAATCACAAGGGACCTAGCCTAAGGATTATCACTAGGGGTGACAACATTGCTTTCCTCAGCAATTTATGTCAAACAAGACATCCTAACATAAAACAACCAAATAGGTGACAACATTGCTTCCCTCTGCAATTTATGTCAAATAAGACAAACATTGGGGTGACAACATTGCTTTCCTTCAGCAATTTATGTCAAATAGGCACGAAGTCACATCGTCCATGTGCTAAGTCCATAGCTCTTATTTATCGATGGTATTTCCCACGGGAGTACCCCCCCCCCCCCCCCCCCCCCCCCCCCCCCCCGCAATACATGTCAATGGGTTTTCCATATGCTAAGTCCATAGATCTTATTCATCGATGGTATTTCCCACGGCAGTTCCCCCCCGCAATACATGTCAATGGGTTTTCCATATGGTAAGTCCATAGCTCTTATTCATCGACGGTATTTCCCACGGGAGTTCCCCCCCCCCCCCCCCCCCCCCCCCCCCCGCAATACATGTCAATGGGTTTTCCATATGCTAAGTCCATAACTCTTATTCATCGACGGTATTTCCCACGGGAGTTCCCCCCCGCAATACATGTCAATGGGTTTTTAGAGTACAGCTGATGAACATATAGTTCATCCACTTATAGGTTGCAAGCCTGCTAGTGTTCCACAGACCGTCTAGAATAGTCCATGGTAGTCATCCTTACTCTGCTGAATGACGGGAGCCAACGTTTGGGTAAGGGCTTTTCTCATATTGCACCACTCACGCTAATGTTTGGGTAAGGCTTTTCTCATATTTCACCACTCACTCTCAACTCATGATCTATATCACTGATCATCTCATCTATCCAACTCACCATTCATCACACACCCACTATTTAACTCACGATCTATATCACTGACTCATGAAGCTCGTCCGATCACTTCATAAAAGACACAAAGACTCCAAAGCTCTTCAAAATAAAAGTATAGGGAAAGTACTAATAAAGTACTCCCGTACGCTCCCGTACCCCGACACGTAATAGTGTCAAAAAGAAGAACTAACGGATGAACACATAGTTCAAAAAAACACCTAATGAACATATAGTTCGAGAACACCTTATGGACATATAGTTCAAACATACCTACCGATTACAAGTCTGCTAACGTTCCACTGGACTATCTAAAATAGTCTGTGGCCGTTGTCTATACTCTGCTAGATGACTAGATCATCTTAAACATCGATATCTCTCATCACTTTTATTTCATCACACATCATCTAATTTATCTACCCATGTTTTACCCAACATATTTGTAGATAAAAATATATACACAGTTTAAAACTTGTATAAAACATGTATTCAACAGTCACCTTGATTAAACAATTAATATAATTACACATAGCACGTATTTTAAAGAAAATACTTCATATATATGTGTAAGGTGAAAGTGACTATACACTCACATGATTTAACGATAATCGGGCAGCACTTCGTTGCCTAAAACGGTCGTTTCTAATAAAACCGGGAGTTTTATTGAGAAACCGGGCTCTGCGAGGGTCGGGCTTCGAAACCGAAAAAATAAATTTCCCGGGCTTCACGGGCACTCCGGGACGTGTTCCGGGCGTTGGAAATGATCTCGGGCCATCGGGGGAAGTTAAAATAGCTAAAATATTGAAAAAGGGGTGAAAAATGCCCATTACCAAAAGTAGCCGGAAGATCTCGCAACCCTTCTATTTATAGGGTGAGATCCGAAGTCGGCCGAGAGAAAGGAGTCAGCAGCGAGGCAGGTGACATCAGGAGGCGAAGGCACATGGTCGGATCCAGAGGAGGACATGCGTCGGACACGTCTCGCATGCGAGGGCTTGCCACCAAGGCACACGCGTCGGATCCTTATTGGACCACTTCGGACTCGTCAACAGATCGGAACAAGGGGCGACACGCGACTTGCTTCGGTTGGGCCTCCCTTCGGTCGAATCAGAAGCGAGCACGTGGCTACTGTTCATGCGAGGTGACTCATCAATTTCGGACACGTGGCACTCATACAGCGAAGGTGACGTGGCCTATGCAAAATTCCTCGGATTTTGAAATAATTTCTCGATTTTTGCGCCAAAACTTCTAAAATCCATAACTTTCGCATACGAGCTCCGTTTTTGACGTTCTTTATATGCACGCGTAGGTAAAATTACGCTCTACAACTTTCGTTTAGACTTCGTCGGCTAAATTTGAATTTCATTTTTATATTATTAATTTTAACAGACCGGGACAGGAAATCCGTTAAAAATTCATACTTCTTCATCCGACGTCCGTTTTCGTCTGTCTTTTTACCGTTGTACTACTATTTACGAGACCTTCGATTCTCGTTTAGGTTGTGTTGGCTAAAAATCACTCGATCTAAAATTCGAGTTTTTAGCTGTCTAGTGTTAAGCTGAAACTTTGAAAAATCATAACTTCCTCATACGAAGTCAGATTTGGGTGTTCTTTTTATACATACTCTCGGTTTAACGAACACTACGACTTTCGTTTAGATCACCAAGGCTAAAAAGTAGTTTATCAAAAACTCACTTTTTACGACATTCGGCACCGTGCCGGTTTTGTCGCGAAACTTCGACAGGTCATAACTTCTTCGTTATAACTCGGATTTCGGCATTCTTTATATATCCGTAATCCTTGTCATGCCCACTACAAGTTTCTTAATAGATATCAGCTTTATCTAATATTTATTTTTGACGCTCATTTTTATTCTTAATTAATTAAACCCTAATAATTAAGCATAAAACACATAAAACACATAATATTCACATAATTCCTTTTCATTTCTTCAAAATGAGTTACAAAGGTTAACCTAGACTATAATGTCAATATTAATGCCTAGCCTAGAAACACGGGCATTACACTGGATCTCTCGGTCCATTGCCTCTTTCCACTTGGC